CCAATTTAGAGACAAGGATGTTGTGCGGGAAGTTCTGAACGCTTTGCACAAGTCCAGGTAGATGACGTCAACTGCTCTGCTGCTGTCCATCAGTTCCGTAGCCCCATCATAGAAGGCCACCAAATTGGTCAGGCAGGAAAATACATCTAAATATGCTGACAGTTATTTTCCAGATGAAAAAAAACCCAGAATTTCTTAATATGTCGCATTATATGAAACAAAACAAAAAGAAAAATTTCCTTTTTATTTCTTGCAGTGGCCTTCTCCACACCTACCCTAAATCTCTCCTTCTTAGTACTCTGTGGGGATTAAAAAAACTAAATACAAGCTCTGCTGCACTTTATACGAATACATGAATCTTCACAGTGAAAGCAAAGCCAGTTTGCTTTCCAAAGGTGGTATGGGATGTGCTGTAGCAATTGCACTGAACAACAGGAAGTTTTTTAAGTTTTTGAAATATGTTCCCCCTGGGAAGTAATGTGCCGAGTGGGCTTAATGTCTTCTTTAAGTGATTTCACTGAACTAGCTTTGCTTTACTCTTGATTTGCAACTATCGTATGTAGCAGAGCATCTTTAAAATATGTCAGGGTGTCCATGTACTGACTGAAACATCTGCAGAAGGGTGTTACATGGGGAAAACCAGCTAAAAGGCAGTTAAATTGTAGGTTACCCTGTTACTTCACTGTGTTTTCTGGCATTTGCTAAGCCAAATTTTTTCTTACTGTCGCTGTTCCCTACCACACTGTTCACTTAGTGATTTGTCTGTCTCCTTTCAATATACCCTTCTCCTCAGCCAAAATGTGCAGTCTTCATGCAAGTCATTCCTTTGAAGGCACCAGTGGGTTTGTCCTTTGCTGTATATGTACATAAATATGTAGATGAAAATGCACGTGTGGTATACATAGTGCACTTATAATTAAAAAGATGCCAAATAAAATCCTGTCTCTATTGGGTTTTTAGCTGTGATTTCAGAAATGTGCATAGGTACTCACAGTGGTTTAAAATTGAACTGGCACATCTGTTTCTAGGACATTATATATAAGAAACTTTCCATGAAGCAATTCCTATTCTGAGAACTTTTGAGCTCATAGATAAAGGGTGGGCAAAATTAAATTTCAAGCTTCACCTTGTTCACTAGCTACTGACGTATCTTCTGTGCACCTTACAGTTGTTTTTAATTGACCAAGAACCCCATTAATTAACTATTGCGTCCTCATTTTTACAGGATCTCTAACAGATGCTTCATGAAGTTGAAAAAGCATTCAAAATGGAGTTCAAGTCTCAATACCTTATTTCTGAACACTGAATTTATTATTAACACTTACTTCCATTAACACTGAATGTTAATAGAGTAAAATTACAGTTATAATATGCTTTTACTGTATTGCAGTGTAAACACTTACTATATAATATTTTCATTTGGGAGAATCGAGTAGTCAGTGATGCTGCTTTTTTTTAAATTTTTCAGAACATCTTCCTAAATTACAAGCCAGATCATATTCAGCATCAAGGTAATTAAATATTCAAGTTGTATCTCCTTGATACTTTAGGTATACTTTTTACTCAGATATGTGTGTGCACATTATAAAGAAGAAAGAGAGAAACGAAGGCTAAAACCTGATGATAAAGTGATTGTGTACCTGTTGCAAAAAACCCCACAGGGTTTGACTATTTCAAATGGCATTGGTTTTGAATGTCTGGCAAGACTTTGTGGGAGTTTTTAAGAACAAGGTCAGACGTGTGAATCTGGTAAGAATTTGGATTCCCTTCTGTAGGTACTGACATCTGAGTCACTATTAAGACATTTTCTAATTATATATAAATATCGCATTGAATACGGAGAATATTGATTCAGTTGATGTGGTTTGGCCTGCAGATTGACCTGCTGTAAGATTGTACAGCTATCTCTGAGGGTTATTTGTTATTGTTGTTGTGGGGTTTGGGTTGAGGGTTTATTTTGCATGTGGTTTGTTTGTTTTTTTTTTTCTGTAAATTGTTTATTTATTAATACTATTGTCTTTCCAGTTCAAATTTATATCAGCCAGGGAAACTGAGTTTTGTATTTAGTATTGTGGAATTCGCTGCCTGTCCCGCTCGACCAGTCCCACGGAAAGGAGTATGTACAGGGTGGCTTGCTGAGTTAGTTGCACCTCAGCTGCACACCAACAGAAACACTCTGGATACAAATGGAGGAAGCTGTTCAACAGAAAAGGTATGAATATTAGATCTAAACTCCTTAACTGTTAAATTTATGCATTTTTGAAACAACTGCAGTTCCTTTGTTCACTGCTCTGATATAATGCAGGTGTTTTGTCTGTATACATCTTCATTTTGCAATTCTACCTTGTAAGTTCATCCTTCTGTAACATGTCTAGAACTTCATTGCTAAGTAGCTTTACTTTCCTTTGAGTACCAACACCAAACTTTCCATGAATTCTGTAACAGTATTCCCCAAATTTTTCATAATCAGAAGCTCGTGTGTGGTTTTCCTCCACATGCATTAATAGGTTTTTAAATATGGTGTGGATTTTTTCCAGGAGCTCATCTGAAATTTTATTCTAAACAACTGTGTGGTATTAAAAATAAACTTTGAAGCTCAGGTTTTGGAAGGTTGTGTAGACACATGCACTATGTAAATGCCCTAAGGGTTTTAAAAATTTAATGGTATTTTCACTGCTTAAGAATGTTCTTCAATTGTATTTTATCTAATTTCATTTTAGATATCTATTTTTGCTCGTCCAAACAATGCTTTCCACTTACCTGCAGACCCATCTGTCCCATTAATTATGGTTGGTCCAGGAACAGGAATTTCACCATTTATTGGTTTCCTACAGCATAGGTATGTACAAAGTTGTTATCTGGAAAGCAGCCTTCTTACTGAAGAAAATAAAGCCTTGGGTTTTGAGTGCAAATACAGTTAATCTTTTTCTGTCTTTCTTTCTTTCTATTTTTTTTCTTCTTCTTACTTGTTGTAGTAGTGGTATGCTGATTAGAAACAGTCTTGCTAATTTTAAGCAAGCAGTGATTGTGTATTTTTGTTTTTCAAATGAGTAAAACTTACACTTTCACCTGACAGTACGTAATATCCATAGTAGATATATGAGGAATTGGATGGATTGCAGAAATGGTTGTAAGAAAGTAAATCCTTTATCTGTGTGTTACTAGTGGAAGTCCTGTAAGAGGCTGGTATTTGTAGAAATAGTGTTGATTAACACTGTGGCTTAAGTTTGGTATTCAAAATCCATTTCCTTCAGAAGTGGCATCTATATGGAAAGCCTTGGCATGATGAATGCCAAGGTTTCTGACATAATCCCTTATTTATGTGTGTTCATATATTTTGATATTTTAAGATGAGGAGCTTGGTACATAAACCCTCAAATGCCCAGTGGTCTTGGGTTTTGTGGGGTTTGTATTTGAGATCCCTTTTTTGCCTTCCTCCAACTCCAGTTGGCAAGGAGATGCTTGTTCAAAAATTGACAGATACCACATCACCAAGAATATGTAAACACATGTTCATTTGGAGGAAATGAAGAACAGGAAGAGTGGAATATTTGGGTGGGAATGGTTGCAAGTTCTGTAGGTAACTAACACGTATGATTCCTCTGTGACTCAGTTCTAGCAAGATAACTATTTTTAAACCATTTCATTTGAGAGAAAAGTGAAATTTTGGCAGAATATTTCTGACTCCATGCTTCCACTTCGACCAAATCATTAGGTACAATCATTATGTCCTTACTCCTTAACTTTAGTTCCCAAATATATCTTATCTCTCAGAAGTATTTTGCATTTTATTTTAAAGGATTCATAGCATTTCATAAGCGTTTGATCAATGATAAATGAAATCTCTCTCTCAAAATGTAACCAGAAAGTTGCAGCTAAACCCCCCCTAAAGTAATACCTTCAGCATTATTTCAAGAAAATGCAATAACTCTTCTGATGATGTGGTAGTAAATAGATTGTTATTCATAAAGTTCAGCAGATTTCTACAGCTAAATGGAAAGCATGCTAAAACTGCTTTGTGCTGAGTTTTCCCTTTCCAATGAAGGATAAAGGGTAGTGATCTCCTTATTCAGCAGTCAGGATTGTTTTGTGAGGCGCTTGGAAGTGTCAGTCTTGACTATTCCATTATGAAACTGGAATAAAAAACCCTTTTTGAAGTTGATTGATTTTGAGCTGGGCCAAAAGTGAGTAGTCAAGAAAATCAAATAAGTAAGAAGGGTTTGACTGTGATTTACTTTAAGTCATTTCACATTTCTGCCAATTCAGAAGTTTATTAAAGCACTACTTTACATGAGAATTAGGTTATAGATGTTTTCAATTCTGAGCTTGATAAAACAGGATTGGATTTTTTATTTTTTTTTCTTTTGGTCTGTTTAGGCAAAAGCTAAGAGAAGAACATACAGACTGGGAATTTGGAGACACATGGCTGTTTTTTGGTTGTCGACATCAGGATCGAGACTATTTGTTCAAGCAAGTTCACTATTTAGCATTCATTTTGTATTCGTGAGGAATTCTTATCTCTGAGCTGTTACTAATAGTTGCTATTGCCTTTCAGAGATGAGCTCAGATGTTTTGTTGAAAATGGCACATTAAATCATCTTAAGGTTTGTTTCTCAAGAGACTCTTCTTCAACTGCAGAAGTAGCCCCACCTAAATATGTGCAAGATGTCATTAGGCTTCATGCTAAGGAAGTTGCCAAATTTTTTTTAGGTTACTTCTATGTATGTGGGTGAGTTACTTCACTTCTGTGGGTGAATAGAGTGGAGATGGACTGTCTCAGAAATAGAATAGAATAAAGTCTGAGGCTTTACAAAGACTTAGTGCTGTCTGAAAGAAAGGACCAACATGATGCTGAAAGAGCCTTCCTGGAATGCTAGGATTTCATCACTATGTGCATTTTTTCCGATACTGTCTTGAAAGTGTAGCTTGTAATCCACAGTTCCATGGGTTGCTTTAGTCACTTATTATTTCTTTTTCTTTTTTAGTAATAGGAGGTTTCAAGCTAACAGATTTCTCTTCAGAAAATGAGATATTTGAGTACATGTGATGATGAACTGCACAGCTGTGAGACAGCAGCAGTCTTCCAGGCTCGGGTGGGCCAGAATGCTAAATCTCAGTAATATAATTTCCAGTGGGTGTTTTATTTGTGGCTACTAACTTACCTGAAGGTTGATATTTTTAGGAAGTTTGTTGATAAATGATCAAACGTTTGAATATGAAACCCAGTGTCAATAGGTTCTTCTGCAGGAATCAATGTCAGCTATGTATATTAAAAATAGCATTATTAATAAGTGAGGAGTTTAGGGGGTTTTGTTTTGTTTTGTTGTATTGGAACCATATGGTGATACAATAATAAAAAAATACTTCAGCAGGTTGATTTCTCCCTAAAAGTTACTCTGTGACAACTCAAGTAGGGTTCCAAGTACTTTTTCTTATAAATTACAGTATGCTGAAAACTGTAATGTTTGATTGAGAGAAACCCTTGTTATTGTCAGTGCTCAGCTGCGTGAAAACTCATTGAGAATTTTGCTGTGCTATGTCCAAACTATATTTTTTAATGCCTTTTTTCCAATATTATCTTGCCTCTGAAGCTACTGATAAAACCAAAAGTGCACTATTATGTATTTTCCTAGTATATTTTTTTTCTCTCCCTCCCAGAGATAAGAAGCACATGGCTGATGGTGTAAGTGATGCTGTAGTGGACATTTTAAGCATGGAAATGGAGACTGACAAACTGGAAGCAATGAAAATCCTGGCCACACTCCGAGAAGCAAAACGATATTTGCAGGACGTGTGGAGCTAAATATTTAGCATTTCCTATGCTTTTGCAACACAAAAGATTTTGTTTCACACATGCTTTTGACTGAAAGTTATTGTCAAAGTGCTGTCTGTAGTCACCCAAATCTTAATTTTCTCCATTGACCTTTCAGGCAGGAAGATAAAACCTTTTAAACAACAGGAAACCAGGCTGCCTTTGGAATTTTGTGGGCTTTTTTCACAATGTTACATCATGGACAGTCTCAGTGCCTTGATTCTCTCATTTTAATGTCAGATTAATGCAGAAAGTAAACACTTCTACACTTTTACATGGGGGTTTTTTCTATAACGTATACATAAATAAGCTACAGAGTAAATATATTACACACTGATTTATGCATTGTCAAATACATTACTGACTTGCCTAGGTTGCCTCTGCAAACCCTTTTCTGCTCAACTTTGTGAATAGAATAGTAAAAGACTTTCAAATAAACAAAATACGAACACACCCTCCCCCCCCAAAAAAAAAACAAAACCAAGAAAACCCAAAAAACAACCAAACCCCTTGGCTGATAAACTTTGCTTTTTACCTCAAGGGAACAGGCAAAGTCAAGTTGTATGCTGTGCTTATTGAACCTGTTTCACACATAAGTCTTATCCAATTTTTGCTTGCCCCTGGGGAACATGTAGTGTATTGCTGACTGCATGGGGTTTTTTGGAAGTTAAGCCCAAGGCTACTGTTTTTGGCTTAACTGCATTCCAGTTTTACTTTGGAATTAGAAGTAGGGTCTGGTGGTCAGCTGAGGCCTGTTTGCACATGCGTGTGCATGAGGCAACTAGGGAGAGCAGGGATTCAGGGCCAGCTACTGGGTGGACTGTGTGTCTAAGCCCAGCTACTGGTGGGATCCACAGTGTATGTGTTAGCTGTTGGAATCCACTTTGCTAGGAGGATAGTGAGGCTGTGGAAAAGGTTGCCCAAAGAAGCTGTGGCTGCCCCATCCCTGGCAGTGTTCAAGGCCAGGTTGGACAGGGCTTGAAGCAACCTGGGCTAGTGGAAGGTGTCCCTGACTGTGGCAGGGGGGTTGGAAATAGATGATCTTTATGGTCGCTTCCACCCAAAATAGTCTGATTCCATGTATGTATGTATGTATTTCGCACCAGACCTTTAGTCTGATCAGCTAGAGAGAGGGACAACTGGTTGCACCTGGGATCACTTCCAATTCGGTGTGTATGTGTATATTGAGGAATGTCCTTGCCCTCAAAGAATGCAGTTTTAAATAAAATTCCAAGCCCACATTTGCCAAAAACTTGGGGGGTGTCTGTTTTGTTGTTGTTTTTTGTTTGTTTTGGGTTTTCATGCTTCATCACCTGGTATTTAATGCATCCAGCGTAACTGAAGATGAGGCCATGTATGTTTTTCTACCTGTAAAGCCACATAGATTTTGAAGCCGAGGTCTTGTGCCTGCCTCCCGCCCCC